TGTAGAAGCAACCCGAGTGTCCACTGAAGGATGAGCAAATAAGCAAAATGTGATAATATACATATAATGGAATATTATTCAGCCTTAAAAAAGGAGAGAAATTCTGACACATGCTACAACATGGATGAACCTTGCAGACATTATGTTAAGTTAAATCCGCCAGTCACAAAAAAACAAATACTGTATGATTCTACTTAAGACGTACTTAGAGTAGTCAGAATCATGGAGACAGAAGTAGAATGGTAGTTGACAAGAGCCGAGGGGAAGGGAGGAGGGGTTTTACTGTTTACTGAGTAGAGTGCCAGTTTCATACGATGAAAAGAGGTATGGAGCTGGGCGGTGGTAGTGATTGCACAACATTATGAATGTATGTCATACCACCAAACTGCACTTAAAAATGGTTAAGATGGTAAATTTTCTGTTATCTATATTTTATCAAAATTTTTTTTAACATGGGAGAGAATAACTTTAAACAGTTGGCTACAACTTTGCACTTCACTGGTCTGTGTAATCTAGCTCTACAATGCTGTGGTCTCCGAGGCCCCCACGCCAGCTCTGAAATGGTGCGGTCCTCTCGTTGACAGCAATGACCTGGAGACTCCCTCTTGGCCTCTAATTTTGCAGTTCGGTAGTGTGACAAAAACTTGATTGCTGGCAATGTCAAATACAAATTTCTTCATGCCTTTTTTTCTTTATGAATTCCTACAGATGTATTTGATAAAGAATACAAGATGGCATACGATCGCCTCACACCGAGTCAAGTCAAGAATACACACAACTGTGACAGGCCGCCAAGTACCGGGGTGATGGAGTGTCGCAAAACCTTTGGAGAGCCTTATCTTTAGGACGGGTGTGCGTGCGTGCGTGCGTGTGTGTGTGTACTTCCAGTAAGTATTGTACAGTCAGTGTATAAAATAACACTTTCAGACTCTAAACTTTTTTCTTCGATTTTTAAAAATACATTTGTAAATGGTTCAGAAAGTCCAGATAGTTTATGTACAGAATGTCTGAAAGAGAAAGTAAGTGACAGGTGGGAGAGAGCCACTTAAAGTTTCCATTTTTTCCCCCTCCAGTTAACAAGTAATTAAGTATTTTTGTGATGAGGAAAGCTCTAAACAAAAAATTAGTTCCCATAAAAGAAGACAACTGTTTTATGGTTTCTCTTGAAAGAGGCAGATTAAAACATCATGTATGGAACTTAAACAAATGTAAGATGCAAGTATCTCCTGTTTTCACAGACGATTCAAAATGTTTTGACCATGAAGTTGTATTATACATATTTTAAACTGTTTATAGTAAGTTGCTATTTTTTTAATTTTTAAACTTAATATAGCAAACAAAATGAACTTAAACTTATGAAGCAAGGCAGTTAAGTGCTTATTTGTCTGCTACTTGAAGTTAATGCAGCTGCAGGCCTCTATGTGTGTATCTGTCTCTCTCTATTTTATTACTTGGGAGAACGATTCCAAAATGTCACGCTAGTGTCACTGTTGTCCCCGGAGCGCTTGCTCGTCCTCCTAAGCCTGAGCACAGGGAGCGCGTCACGGCGGGGGTGTGCGTGGCCCAGCCCGACTCGTTGAGCCTCGTGGAGGAGAGCCAGAGAGGTTCCAGGTTGGCTTCTATAAAGTCAGGCTCGATATACCACGAGTCCAGAATTTCCTCTGTTGTTAATAGGTACGTACAGTACACAGGGAAGGTAGCTTAACAAAGCCAAAGGTTCTACATGCACACTTATGCTGGGAAATATGTTAGTTTCTCCCAAATTTGAACTTTATTTTAATATCTGAAATATTGGGTATGATGCAAATTGTACTATATTTATCTGGAATATAACCTACTGGAATATTCTGTTAATATTATATATATATATATTCAAAATATTTTTTCAAAAGTAGAAAAATAATAACTCTCTAAACGTACCGCCAGATAGAATTTCCCATATTGAGGAACTTGGCTTTTTCAATAAGCCTTCAGAATCTGGTTTATGGAATCTAAAATCCAGAAATATCCAGAAATCAGACAATAAACTGAATGTTTAAGCACTATGGGTATTAAATAGACTCTTAAAAATTATTGGTAGTCCCATTATTTCTAATATCATTTTCTTTGGGTAATTTCTGATAAAAAGTGTCCTTTGGCTGTTAGAATTATTTATAGATTTTCAAGGTGTCTGTGTCGTGTGTGTTTGCACACATTGTCATTAATGAAGGAATTCTCTAGCCACTGTCAAAGAAGAAAAAAAAAAAAGAATGGTCCTCAGTCCGATGTATAAAAGCCCACAGAGTTCAGGGCACTGGGACTGGAGTTACCTTAAAGTCCTAAGACTTAGAACCAGTTCAGCTGTAGAAAAAAACCCTCGAGTTCATACTTAGTGAATAGCACCGAGCTGAAACACTTCACGGCTTTCTGCTCTGGGAAGTAATGGGGAAGGTTTAAAAATGTAAAATTTTAGTTCAGTTAGTTTGGGGCTGAACTTGATTACTTGAAAAATCTGGTGCTATGCAGGTGTGTCTGCCTCTCCTTTGTAAATACCACTCCTGTCTGATCCTTCTTTACTACTCAAGATCTTAGCCTCACGCTCTGTTTTATGTTCTCTAAGTCATCATCATTTGAAAGTTGTCAAATGGGAGAAACATTCGATGGGTGTGGCTTTTGGCACTGGTGACAAACATCCCTCCAAACAGGATTCTGAGGCTCCGTTCTAGTTTTTTGTTATTGGTTTTTTCCCCTTAAAAGAACAGCTTTTCACTATTGATTACCTTTTCTCTACCAGGAGCAATGAGTCATAGTTTATTGGTTTCAAATACCTGACCAAAAAAAGTAAGGTAAAGCCCATTCTTTATGGCTCATCCTCATTTGGAAAAGTGGTTGTAATTTGTTATCCCCTCCCCTCCCCCAACACCAAGTTTTGTTTCTGCTTTTGGTTAGGTTTTATTTCCCCTATTTTTAATCCCCAAGGTCTGTTATTTGCACATATTTACTCTTTAAAAATAAAACCTAAAACATGAAGAAAAAGTGGTAAACCCTGCTCAAAAGAAAACTAAAATGTAGATCATCTTTTAAAATAACACCTTATAAACTTTTCTTTGATTTTCTCTCTGTTGACCATACATTTTAGAGAATCACGGCCAATCATGTTGGAGAGAAATACCCTTTTGCTAAATTATCTGTCTTTTATTTTCTTATTCTTAGTTTCGTTTACCAGTTGAAAATAAACCATGCTGTGTCCGGTACGACTTGTTTACTTCTTCCTCCCATTAGTGTTTTGAATGTCATACATTTGTATTTTATATATTTCAATATTTGATTTTTTTCTCTTGTCACAGAGTCATAGAACCTGTTTATATTCTGATTTTTGTCTTTTTTTTTTCTAACTTTGGGGGATGTTTTTTGTTTTAAAAACCCTAAAGCCACCAGCTTATTTTAAGCTTTTTTTAAGTGTCTTTCCATTTTGGTATATAGAGAAATGGCCCCTGGAAATGTTGATTCAGCATTTTAGGTGATAAATACTTATTTTATTTCATGCTGGTAATTCCTGATACTTCAGTGCAGCTGGCAAGAGTTCGCCTGCTGTATACAGATGCTGTACTTCTGCGTACGCTGTGAGATAGGGTAAGAGAATTCCCATTTGTATGGCAGTGCGCAGCGGCCCGGCTTTATTTTTGTTTCTCCCATTAGAACTTGAAAGCTACTGCCAGGCACTTTATCTCAGAGCAGGAAGGGAAAGAGCAGGCTGCCTCTTCGAGATGGTCCTTGGCCTGCCTTTGTGCTGGTCTTAGCATGCTCTGCCCTTCCTGTTTGGATACAAGACTAAGTTTTATTTCAGAATTGAATTCTCTGGCAGCTGCACACCAGTTTACCTTGATCTCCTCAGAACTTGGTATCTTCTGCTTATCCCTTCATACTGTCCTCTCCCTCTGGCCCCAGAGTAGGTACTTTGCTGACTCATTTTTGGTTCCAAATTCGTTTTGGACAAATACATGCAGGAATCTGTCTCTGATGCAAAAAGTCTGTGCGCACGTGTGAGATGGTAACAGACGCTGATAAAGTTACTGCAGCCTTTCCACCACTGCTGTTCTTTGGATGGCCCCCTCCTTTTGTATTTAAAATTCTTCCTTTCATAGTACTGTGACAAAACCATTGGAGCAACTGATGGAATTTTCTGTAAATGAAATTCTCCAGATCTGCCTGCTCATCACAGTGGAGGGCCTGAGGACCAGAAGTGTGCTTTGGTTGTGGGCAGCCTTAGGCCAGGGGGTCCAGCCCGGCTCTAGTGACCTCCTCCAGGGATGGACAGCCCTGCTCACGAGCCCTCTCTGTACCTTTCATAGTAATCAGTCCCATAATACACTGCAAGCTGCACCTGCAGAGGGACCCTCCCACCAAAAAAGGGTGGAGGGGGGCAGCCAGAACTAAGTGTGTTCTGTGGCCATGAGGCCAGCCAGTTCTTCAAATGTATCTACTGTGCCTTAAATATTAAATTCCGATTCTTGCCCCCTTTGGTATTTAATCTATAAATGATAATTAGGATATAGACTTTTTATGATACTTTTATAGTATCATAAAAGGCCAAGCCTATAATTGGATAAAAACATTTTCAGATCTG